TCCATCCAGCTGGTATTTATGCGTCCGCGATCCCTCGTTAGCCGTTTCCTGCCTGGTGTTGTCATCAACAGTGTCCCCATAATTGGCCCAAAAAGGTCAGCGATGGCCAAGCAGGTGATTTTTAGAAGGCTGGACACAGCGAGAGTGAGCAGCTCGTGCTTGTTGATTTATTAAATTTGTTTTTTAAGTGCCGGAGGTGTCCGAAAACGTCCGGCTACAGGTGCTTTTTCTCGAAGATTTCGATCAAGGAATTACTCACATGCCTAGGCTAGGCAGGTGAATTTTTCAGGTTGAAAACAACAACCGGAGGCTATGTCGCATCTCTCTGATGCATCTTCTGCAAACCATTTCCTAGGATAAAATTTTTAGTTTTATCTACTTGTTTATTGTAAGCATCATAAGAAATATCCCATTTTGAAATTTCACTGACAAGTCGCTTTTCGAAAAAATCTTCAGTTCAATTCTGCTACATCTATGAATGTTACATACAGTTACATTTTACCTAAAAGCAATTAATTTAGAATATAGAATCAGAGTAAAGGGAAATTTACCTCAAATTATCATGCCTCCAAATTAACAACACATTATAGGAACTTAGACTTTATAAAAAGAACAATAAAAGTGACTTATAATTTTAGTAGTATTCATAGACATTGTGCAAATGCCTTAATATGAGTGCCAATGATATCGTCTTGCATTTTTGATACAGCTATGTTCGGAGATGTTTTTTGGCTTTTAGAATTAAAAAAATGTTAAATCTCGGAGTAACTGGATTTCCCATTTAATCCTTTTCATCAACATCATCAAATAAATTTGAAAAGGTACTACTTCTAGTAGATCTCTCTCTCTATATATATATAATTCTGAATGCGTCCAAAAGATACTATCATAATTATAGTTTTGTTTTTAAAATTTCAAGACTAACTACGACATAATTTTATTTTCAAGAATGGTACCAATAAAAGTAGCTTGAAATAAAATGCAAATTTTTATGACAGTTTTCGTTTCTTAAAGTCCCAGTAACAACGCTAAATTCCTTCATTGTCTATTACTTTAGAACAGGCACATCAAAGCCATATCTTCCCACCAAACCTGTCTCATAACTATGGCGAAGACAGCTGTGGTAAAAAGTGTGAATTCACTAATTTGCTAAAATTCCCTAATTACCTATGTGAGGTGATGACAACATACGTTACGATAGCATGGGAGTATCGCTATGACCTTCAAGTGCCTTTCTCAGTAATAACTTATTCAAGTAACTTGACTTTTAACCCTCTCAGCGTTACGGCCGGAAAATTCCGCATAAAAGGCTGCCTTCTATATTCATTATACATGAAAATTTCTGCTAGTTTTTAATGTATCTCATTTCTGTTTGGACGTATATTGGAAGAAAAGGAGTCAAGGTACAAAATGAGAGAGCCACTTTTTAATTAAAATAAAAAAAATACCACTTATTCATGACATTTTGAGGAACTTTGAAATTTCAGGGCTAAACCCGTAACGCTCGGAGGAAGTAATTTGAAGCAAATTATAGATTTTTACGACACTTTAATTTGTTTAAGTTTGAAAAACAATATCGAGTTCTTAAACATCGTTAGTGTATTTACACTTCCCCGATTACATTTCCGTATAAATCTTATATAAAAAAACAACAATTTGTAGGAAGAGAGACACATACAAGTTTTCTAAACATATATTTTGAAATGCTGCCTTAAAAAACATGCAATGTTAATTAAAATATTGCCGTAAATTGCATTTAGGGATAAAAAAAACCATTGAAGTGCTTTTAATAGTAAACAGAAAACTTATTATTACATTATTATATTAAACAACTGCTGTTTTATTATTACTATTTTTTACAGCCTTATAACAAACTCATCATTTTTAAGAACTGCTAGTTCGTAAGATTTAAACGAACTAACTTTTCCTCTTAAACCTAAAAATCACAACTATTAAATTACGAAGATTTATAATAATCTTCCTATTTCAGATAACCGGGTATTTGATTGCAAAGCTCTTTTTCTAACTCATTACAGAACCTAAATTTAACTATGACACAACCATTAGAATTCACATGGTTCAAAAGTGTTCCCAAAATGAATTACAGGTAGATTCATCAAGTTAACAGGTTTATCGTTATTATTCATCTTAATTACTATAAAATTCTTTCACTTTGATAAGAATCGTCATACGATTAGATCATCGGGCTGGACAGTCTGAACTTTGCCCTCAACCATCTGAAGTTAGGGGTAACTTGAAACGAACTTTTGTTGAAACCTCAATTAAAACTTCGCTGTCTCGGTGCTGTAACACCCAGCAGAAGGAAACAAAAACATTCAACTTCCTACTCCTTAATTAGTCCAATCTACCTTCTTCAACTCCCAAAATTACCAACTCGAATGCATTAGCATTTCAAAGAAGTCGATTGCACCATCTGCGGGACTCTTCGCTTCAGCAGCAGAAAAAGCCGAGAACACCATCTCCTCCCAATCATTAAACAAACCAGATAACCATCAGTTTTTCTTTTGTTACAGCCAAGTAGTGTAATAATCGAGGCTTAAAAACCAAGGTTCAGCTTTGGTGCGCGATTTTAATGACCAGTCTGCAAGCGTGGGTCATTTGCAACGTCTGCCTCCCACTTGCCCCACAAAGCAGGTGCTGCATCTTCATTGAAATCTAATCAATTGATATTGCTATTACTGCCTATTTTATTTATTATGTTTTTCATCCTACCGTTTATCGGTCATGGAGATTATTATGCTGGACGCTTTTTTTCTGCTTCTTTTTATATTTTAATTCCTTTTTGCTACCTATTTTCGGAATTAACGGCTTTTAAGCCTTAGTTTGTTGTACGCTTGGTGAAGATTGAATCTAACAGGCCTGGAGTACTCGTTCACTTTAGAAAAGGATGGACGGAGGCGCATGCGCAAATTGGCTGGTGCTGCTAATAATGATTGCTAACAACAGCTGCTATTATTATATTGAATGAATACCTTTTTCCCCGCTTATGGTGGAAGTTCTCTGCGGTAATCTAGAAATGAATAGGTACTTTTTTTCCCCTGAAACTAGTGCCACGTGCCACAATTTCTTTCGAATTTTTTTTTAATATTTTTTATGAGCAGAATTAATATGCTCTCTCATTTTTCGAAAGAACAGAAATTTTAAGTAAAAAACTTGTTCTCGAAAGAAGTTTAGGGCATAAAATTAGGGTGCCGCTTCAATTCAAAAAGGCTGTTCTAACATCTTATATCGGAAGAAATTCTCGATAAAATAGGTAACTTATTATAGCTATATTAGAGCTTATTTAAGTGAATAAAAATGTTTCTTATTTTTCAACACCTGTTATAAAATAATTTCTATTTTCTATTATTTTTTAAATTTTAAAATCTTGCTGGGCTTAAACTTTATGGCAGCTATTTTCTAATATTTTCCGATTTTAAAAACTCTACTTCAAACTAAATTAAGGAATACCATTGGCAGCTTGGCGATAACCATTTGTCTTAATGTTAAATAGATCTGCCCTTCTAATCTTATTTTTCCGGCAGAGCTTCACCCTCTTAGACCTTTCATGTTGCATTATACCAAAGATATTACACATTCACATATAATTTAACTAAAAGTATTTGTATATATACAAAATTCGTTACAAAAATCTCGTTCCAATGCGCGACGCCTGACATGGAGAAAATGAAAAGAACCAGTCTCGTTTTGCGTAATTCAAAGCATCGAAATGAAATTAAAATAATAGAGTTAATTACTCCTGTTTTAATGGATTATATAGTCATTCTTCTAGAAATTAAACCGGTAACTTTATTTAAAATTCAGGGAGTAAAATTTTTCGATGAAGGGGGACAAGGAAATAAAACACCGAAATTATCTTTGCTAATAGGAGCAGATTTTTAATGGAAAATAATTACTGGCAAGGTTTACAGACTGTCTAATTCTTTAGTAGCAGTCGAAGGAAAATTAGGTTGGGGAGCTAGTAGAATAGAAAGGGATTATGGAATTTCCACCAACTAGTGTGAATGCTGTGAAAGTCGTAGTTCGTAATAATGATGGTAACGAATCAACATCTAATTTGCTTAAGAATCTCTGGAATCTCCAATTCATGGGGATAAATTACGATTATCATATGATAATTTAATTTTTGAGAATTTCAAAACATTTGCGAAATTTTAAAACAATAATTACATTGTTCTCCTTCCATGGAATCATAATTCAAAAGAACTTGGAGATAATTTTGAGAATGCTAAAATTAGATTTGAGAGACATTAGGCTAATCAACAATTCTGTGACAACTAGACTAATCAAAAATTCTGTGACAATTAGACTAATCAACAATTATGTGACAATTAGACTAATCAACAATTTTTCTCGTAGATATTAGACTAATCAACAATTCTGTGACAGATATCGCGAAGTAATTGATGAACATTTAAAAAAAAGGAATTGTCAAAGAGACCAACCTTGAAATAACACCATAAATGTATTTTAGGATATATTAAACCGTTGTAAGAGAAAATAAGGAAAAAACTTTGCGTGGATTTCGACGCTTCGTCGCATGCGGAGAATCATTTGTCAATAAATTACTATTTGCATTCCGGCCAAAAGATGTGCCCAGACATGCTGGAATTGTTCCTTAAAGTTCGTCCAAATCTAATTGCGTTTACAGCTGACTACTGACTTCCAGCAAGCATTCTTGCTGATTTTTCTTGCAGATGAAGATAGAAACGCAATAACATTTCTGTGGAATGATGGTGAATTAAATGAAACCGAAATAAATATACTCTTCGTATGGCAAGAGTAACCTTTGAAGCAACTCCTAGTCCGTTTCTTCTTAAAGCAACTCTTAGTGAATTTGCTGAGAAATACAAATCACAGTACCCGAACGTATTTTCCAGGTTAACTGAACATATACATTTATGTATGTTTCGTTCACATTAAAACGTGTTTTATGCAAAAGATATATAATTTGGATTAATTTTCTGTAATCCACTTACCTGTGTTTCTGTGAGACTGAGACTTTGTGCCAGTTGTTTTCTCTCAGCCCCGACCACGTAATGATTCTTTTCAAAGGCATGCTCCAGTTTGAGGAGTTGCGAGGGAGAGAACGCTGTTCGAATCCTCTTGGGTTTTCGGAAGGGATGCAACAGGAATCCAGCCCCATCTGGACCTTAAAAAAAATTTAAAAAGATTTAAAAAATTAATTTAGTTTAATATTATTATAATAAAAATAAACAGTCAAAAAATAAATTTGCCTTTGTAGAAAAGTTATTATCCATTTTAAGTCGAAACATCCGAAACCTGTTTGGAAATTTCACGTAAACTGTATTTATAAGATTGTAGAGACATTAGGATTATTTTACGAAGCCAGAGAGAGGAAAAATTAGCAACGCCTTCGCCGAGAATTGAACCACGGACCTCTGGAATACCGGCCCCAGTGTGCAGGACAACTACACCCCGAAGGCACGCTAGGAAAGCGGGAGAAATACTTTATATCCGAAAAGATAAAATGACGGATTGCAAGAAATGACGGGACGGCGCAACAGATGAACTTCACCATTTTCAACAGCGTAAATCTTGAAATGATTATCTGATAATTACTTCTTTTTTGAGTTATGAAATAGTAAATACAGTCTTGTAATACTCCTTGATCATCTCTAAAATTTTATTTATTACAGTAGCTTTTTAGGTAAAAGCTCAACATTATAATGAAGCACAGAGTTTATGATATATTTATTATTTCTCAAGTAAGTCTCAATGTTTTTTAGGTAAAATTTTAAGTCTTGAAAAATTTCCCACATTTCATTAAAATTTTTGAAAAACAAAAATGATTTACTTTAAATATTGATAATATGCCTTTAAATATTGATAAATAATACCAATATGAAGTAATATGAAAAACGTAGCTAGAAATATGATTAAAGTGTTCATATATTACATTTAAAAAATACACCGAACGTATTCAGCTACCTTAAGGAAAAGAAAATCAGTTTAAAAGTGTGTAGCATGTCGGATTGAATGGTTTTCAAAATAATTCTAAAATTCTCTTCCAAAACAATTCATCTCTTCTTTATATATTCTATAACGTCTACCAATTTTAAAACATCAAACTTCGAACAAAAATGTGAACACAATCTCATTTAACATACATCACTCAATTTCACTCCGTGTTATCTTACAGAAGATTCAGTTCATGTTCGCTTTATTATATTAAAGATAGTTCAAGAGGGTTTGATATTTACAAACAAAACCCCGAAGGCACACTAGGAAAAGCGGGGGAATAACCTTATACACTCCCCTTTTTAAAGAGCGACTGGGGTTTTCAGGGGACCCAATTTAGTTGATTATCTGTAGTTAGTCTAAACTACAGATAATCAACTCGTCTCTGTGTAAGGCTTGTTGGTTATATACAGGTTTCTACACTTTTTTGCGGACGAAATATCGCCAAATCCTGGTTGTAGAGGAACCTTATTCCTCACTCTTTTAGCTCGGACGCTACTGTAGAGACATTAGGATTATTTTTTGAAGCCAGAGAGATGAAAAATTAGCAACGCCTTCGCCGGGAATCGAACCACGGACCTCTGGAATACCGGCCCAGTGTGCAAAACCACTACACCACGAAGGCACGCTAGGAAAGCGGGGGAATAGCCTTATAAGATCTTCATTTTAATGCAGCAACCAAAGCACTATCTTAGTAATTTCTTAATTTAATAGCTTCAATTTTCTTCTGAGACGATATTAATAGGTCTAGAGGTTAGCAGAAACCGATTCTTAAGTCTAAACTACAGATAATCAACTCGTCTCTGTGTAAGGCTTGTTGGTTATATACAGCTTTCTACACTTTTTTGCGGACGAAATATCGATTTATCCCCAATATTTCACTCTTGGAACGATCTCCGTGATAAGACAGCTAAAAGATGGTGGGTTGGGCCATCTGATGAATTACTTCTTAGCAAGTGTCTGGAAAAATACCGTTCTATTCCCTAGAAGTATACTCTCAGCAATGTTCTACGCGATGAGATAGCTGAAAAACTGCTGGGTTCGGGCATTCCCAACGAATTCTTATTCGCAGGTATCGGCAATTAAATAAAAAAAAAATACTTCATTTTGTCAAACTAAGTTTCCATGATCATGACTGTTAATTTTAAAATATTAGGCTTCCAAATATAAATTAAAAAATTTCTACTTTACCTTCTCCCCCCAAATATTCAAAACAAATTTAGCTTTTCCCCTTTTTTTAAGCATATTTATCTGTTCCTACTTTTTACGTGCTACTTTTGCCGTATGAAAATATTAAAAAATATAGCCACAGTAGAATATTTTTCTCAAACATTCAATGCAAACATTTTATAAATGATAAGTAATTTACTCATTAATCGAATTCCAAAGAAGTAACAGTCTTTTTTTTAATGTTTATATATTAAGCTGTTTCTAAAAATTTCACTTAGGACAGAGGAATATTTTATAGTTTAATTATAGTTTTGTAAGCCAAGGATCTGCTAAAGGAGGCTTTTAAAATACAAGTCAGATACCGAGTTTTTTTCCCATTACACATAGGACATGATTTTTCTGTAACATGCATATTAAAGAAGCGTTTTTTTTTAATATTTTTTTCCTAAGAAAGTCTAAGAAATATGAAAATCATTACTATAGTATTTCATAGAGCATGGTTAAAAAAGAAGTGCTGAATTTTTATTTTATTTTTCTTAAACAATTCTAGTTTAGGGTTGATGTTAATGCAAAGCTCAGTGAGTTTCAAGAGACATTATGACTTGTCTATACCCATCAGAAGAGAATGCCTCCGGTGAAGGAAAATGAGCAACTAATTGTGATCTGAAAAGATTAAGTCTTTTATTTTGAAATCAGCTCGAGTTTTGGAATTCATCTTCTATTTTGAATCAAATAAATTATTTTTTTATTTTCTAACAGTTCATGCTGCTTTTGCGTAAGTTTAGCTAAATTTGATATTTAGTAAGTAAAAAAAAAATAACTGTCAGTAGACTCTTAAATCAAGAATATATTTCAGTGTATCCATTTAGTCTGCAATATAGTACGAATAGAAGCTAATCCCTAAAATCCGTGTAATGCCAAAGCAAAAAAAGAGGAATAAAAGTTGGGAGGGTATCTGTCCCATAAAAATATTTAATTCCAATGCAATTCAATAGCGCAAGTAGAAGAAAATTTCAATTTGTACTTTCTTGTTTCCTCTTTGAATTTCATTTCATAGAAAAATTTGCAACAAAAGGAAAAAGAACTTATAAAATTCTTTCCCCTGTTTATCAAAAATTTCAAAAAAAAAAATTAATCGAGAAACCTAATAAGCTACTTTAATTTTTAAATTTATTTGGGTTAATGCGGTCTTCAATTCTTTTACAGGAACCTCTATGGAATATATTTTCAGCGATATTCTCGGAACGTTTAGAAACCTCTCCAGAGTTTTTTTGGAGTTAAAATTAAGAAACCTCGAACTTAGGTTAACCTGTAGGATTTTAAGTCAATTAACCAGTTATATTATTATTTTATCTTTAATTTCATTTCTGCTTTTGTCAGCTCCCACCAAGACGCAAATCAGTTACTGTCATTCGGTGTAGAATTTCTAAAGTAGAGAGTCTTTGGCAACCATCGCTGATCAGCCACTCTGCCCGTGACTGAATCGCATACTCGACTTTCACTTCACTTCGAATTTCAATTTTGATTCCTAACTGCTTCGTGAAAATATTGAAGCCTTAGCCAAAACTTACTTAGGTGCGTGTTACTTTGTACTTAATATTTTAGTTTGATTGGAACGTTTGTTCTATGTTTTCTCGCAGGTAGAGGAGATTTGATTCAATTTTGTCATCAAGTTGACACATCAATAAAAAGGTTCATTTTAAGTTTTTATATGAGTTAGGGTTATTCTGCCATAAAGGAAAGACATGATGCTAAGCCATCTATCTGTCTTTACGGTTCTAGGAGTTGATAGTTAAAGTCGTGCGGAATCGTACAAGTCTAATCCATCATGGTTAACCCAGGATTTCTTAACTACAGTACCTTATTAATTAAATGCGTTCAATTACTAACCTAGTAATTAACAGTTTACATTCATAAGATCGATATTGCGCAGGGCACTGCGGGAAAAAGATATACAGTCGACACTGGCACATTATCTGCAGCGACATATGATCAACACGATAAAAGTGGAATTTTGATTGGAATATAATATTAAGTAGCAGGATTAATGGAAATGGCACAGGAATGACAATGCTCTCCTGTCGTTACAGGTTGGACAAGGCAGCTAAAAGCCGGTTTCGACTATATGGGATGTTCATTCTACAGGTACGCTAAAGAAATAACGGCTTAATCAAATTCTTCCCCTCTTTATTATGTGATATTGCTAATTATAAGCCTTGGCTACATTATGCAATGTCTGTTCCATGTCGTTCCTATTCCCGTGTTGACATATCCCGTGAGATCGTATTCCTCTGACAGCTCTGTGAAGGTGACAAACGGGAATTAAATAGCATACTCATTATTATATCATTAACAAAAATTCTATTTTATCTTGTTGATCATACCCCGGTAACTGGTATCAGTCGGTGTCGATCCTATGGCAGTGTCCGTTTTTCTCCCAGTCGATCATATGCATGGTCGGTTCTATGAATTGCGCCCAACTTAAAATACAAAACTAAAAAAAAAAAAAAAAAAAAAAAAAAAAAAAAAACTTCAAATGGTCACTTTTCCTAGTGTCGATCCTAGGCAGTTTCGGTTCTACTTAGTGTTGACGCTATGAGTTTATTCCCACAGGATCGCCACCAGCACAGAATCGACCGGGAATCGGGTCAAAACCGATTTTTGGGTTGCCTTTATCGAACTTGTGCCTGTAGAAAGGCCAACGATCTTATACTTTATTCTCTTCTATACTCCTTATTTTAAAAGTAGGGTCTGAATTACATTTCTTGAACAGCTGGTGCAAGATAAAGTGGGAAAAAATACTTGTACAATTGTAAGAAGAGAAAATTACAGTCGGCAGTGCAAAGCTGTTGTTTAAAAAATTATCAATTATCAACCAGGCAGATCAACAGGCGCCTGTGAGTTTCATATTCCCCCATGAAACTCCCCGCAGATTATTATCTTATATCTTTTCTTCAACTCTATTAATGTGTCAACAGGCAGTAAAGCTACTGAAAACAT